TAAAAATATAAATCATTACTATATTTAGGCAATTATGCAGGCAAATTTGCCTGCATCCCTCTACAATTTAAGGGATAAGTAAAAATATGACTACCTTGAATATTGTCAAGATACACAAAATTAATCTGAATATTATTATACTCAAATGAACCAAAATTTTTATTATAGATTATTGAAATTGCTAGCTTATTAGCAACATTTATCCCTTTATCACAAATAACTCTATCCAAATACTATCTATATGATATAAGCCTAATATAAAATTTAGCAACTTTTGATATCAGTATTATTATGAAGAAATACCCGCAGACAACTTTACGATTAATCAATATTAAACAGATACATAGATGAAAAGTATTATTATAGAGTACTACAAAATATTAACTTTTCATATTAATTGATAAAACTTTTTAGATTTTACTAATGTGTATATTATCCAAGTTATACATAAGCTTTTCAAGTTTGATTACAAATGCATCAAACATGTTATCAGTAAACATTTTAGCAGATATCTCATCTGTTATTTATTAGAAAAAGATTAAGTTTAAATACAAACAAATTTACTCATTTACTTATTATAAACCTCAATAATAGTAATATTATAACTACTGTAAATTCTCTAAATAGTGAGTATAAATATTGTTTCAAATTTTGGCTCGAATTAAGCTTAATTTGGCTAAATTCAAAATAATACCTATGTTTGCTATTTGAAGAATTTACAGTATAAAGTTGCTGAGAAAAAAATAACAAAAAAAACCTCAATAAAATAAAATTATTGTTATTAAATAAGTATTTACTATAGCAATAACTAACTATATATAAAATATAAAACATACCTGATTGAACACAAAAACTCATAAATAAAAACTTATCGTTATACAGAAAACAACATAAAAAACAATACTTGTAACCTTAAAGAAAAAGAAAGAGAACAAAAAGAAGCATATAGTCTCTTAAGAGGCTAAGGCCTCGAGAGGAAAAGCCAAGTAGATATAGAAGAAAACTTGAAGAACTATAAACTTTTCGTCTCTTGCAAGTATTTTTTAGGGGATTGTACTTGACTCTGTTATGTAGATCTATTTGGTTACACAAAAACAAGACACGTAATGAAGAGTAAACAAAACAAATATAGAAAAAGATACATGTTAAATAGAAATGTAGATACAACAAAACTAAAAAATGAACACGTGAGGCTTAAAACAGAAGAAAATTCTAAAAGAAGATCTACAAGAATAGAAGCTATAGCAAAGCAAATATACAATCTAAGAAGAAAGTTTGAACAATATCAAGAAGGAAAAACAACTAAATTAGAATTAGAAAGTCTTATAGAAATGAACAAAATATCTCTTAGAGTAGCAACAGATTTAGCCAAATTAACAGGAAAAGATATTTATGAGTTTTTAATAATAGAAAAGATATGATATTTACTTGAAGAACTTAGTATAGAAGAAGCAAAACTCTGTACTGAACTTATCAAGAAAGAAGAACTTATACAGAAAATACAACAAAGAATAGATACAAGATGGGAAGAAATACTCAAGGCAAAGATGATTAAGAAGCAAAAACAACGAAACTAAGAAACTATAATGAAGATTAGTCTACAGATTAAAGAAGTAAGTAGAAGAGTTTTACTTAAGCAACAAAGAAGAAAAAAGAAGCTTTCAAGAGAAGAGCAAAAAGAAAAAGAAAAAGAAAACTCTAGAAGTAACAAGAAGAGAAATGTAGAAAAAAGAAAAATGGAAAAAGTCTTAGAAGAACTTAAAGAAGAGACAAGACCAATAGTACAGAAGAAAGACCAAGATAGCCTAAAAAATAAAGAAAAAACAAAGATACGAAGAATAAAATCAACTTAAAAGAGAAGAGAAGAAAAGAAGATAAAGTTTAGACAAAATAAAAGAAGAATAGAAGCTCGAAACTTCTGGAAGAATTAGAAAAAGAAAAGGAAAAGATGATCCAAAAGATTTAACTCTAAAGAAGAATTTCGATTAGGAATGCAGAAGAATGTCCAAAAAGAAGTATATAGTATAGCAGAAAAAGAAATACAAAAATGCAGAGCAAAACTAAAAGAAGAAAAGATACTTTATCTAATCAGAAGATCTGCAGATAAATCTAGTAGAAAGATTTGGAAGAAAAGAAGGAAAAAAGAAAAATATTATAAGATGAATACTATTCGATAGATTGAAAGTAGAATAAAGGATAGTA